TTTTTTTACATCGAGGACCACCATTGTTTCGATCTCAGTAAGATTCACAATTGATCTCTTTATGATCATATTAAAAAACCCTTATATAATTTAGGTGTCAGGGACCACAGGTAATAATAGCATTATATGTAATCTATTAAAGTAAAAAAGATAAACTCCACTTTAATCAATTGTTATTCAAATAACACCCACTTATGTGCTGCCCATTGTGTTAGGCTCTATTATAGTTAACTGTATTAGTTATTGAATGTTATATAACAAAGTATCCTAAAACTTAGTGGCTTAAAACAATTATTTAAACATGTATTATCTCATTTTCTGGGGGCCAGGAATATAGGAGCAGCTTAGTTGAGTGGTTCTGGCTCAGGGTCTCACTTGAAGTGACAGTTAAGATGCTGGCCAGGGATGCATGATGTCATTTCTATGTTGGACTATTGTTGGAGGATCTGCTTTCAAGGACATTTGCATGGCTGTTGGCTGGAAGCCTTAATTCTCACCAACCGGGCCTCTCCATAAGTTGCCTAAGTGACCTGATGATAAAGACATGACGGCTACCTTTCCCTGAGATAGTTGGGCTTTCAGGGAGAGAGAAAAGGACACCCTTACTAGATGGAGATCTAGACCTATAAGCATGATCAGTCATGTTTGTCCCTTTAGCTAGAGGAAAAAAGCATTCAACATATGCTTGTATGAGATCAACTTGAACAAAAACATAATCAATTCAAATGTCATCAGATTCAAGCTACACAATATACCCATAACTGATCTGTAGCTAGACTATTTAAATAAGATGAAACATCCTGATTCACAAAAGCCTGCCCGGGAACCTGCACTTTTCCTCCTAGGAGAATCATTCATATAGTCAGGGAGATCAACCCTGTTTGAATAACTTGTCTTACCTTCTATGAGAGGCCAGGGGCATATGCACCCTGCCTTTGGGGTGTGTATACCTTTAATTTGCTGTCTCTATTAATAAATTATTGCTTGTGCCTTGCTTTCAATACATCCTGAAATGCTTTTACATGGTGTAAGGCAAGAACCTGCCTGGGGCAAATGGAGGGTCCCAATGTCCCCTAGAGAGACCTCCTTGGACCCCTGTCTGGTGACACTTTCAGCAAGTAATTCCAGAGAGTGAACAAAAAGAAAGCTGGCATATCTTTTATAAACTCCCTTCAGAAGTCCACTATGTCATTTTCATTTTATTCTATTCATGAAAAGTTACTAAGTACAGCCCAAACTTAAAGTTAGGGGAATTAAGCTCTATCTTTTGAAAGAAGCATGAAAGAATTTGTGGATATATTTTAAAACCACTAAGTTAATCTATAAAATTCAAGTTATTATAAAACGACTTATTTAATATTTGGATATTCAATGGAAAACTAAGTTTATTAGAGAATATTTTATCACTGTGGTTAGCTTGCATATTCTGTCCCATTTTCATCTTACCCTATCAAAAAAAATTGTCAACACACTGCTATATAAATGATAATCTACCTCATTATATCAATAAGGAACTATATTTTAAGACTTATAATAGAAAGCTCATACAACAAAATCTTATATAGAAAAAATTTATTTTTCCTCACCTAACAACAACCCAGAAATGGCCAGCCTAGCTGGTAAGCTGGCCCTCCAAAGCAATCATGAACCCAGATACGTCTGGCTTCCTACACCATTAATACTGAGTGTGTGGCTTTTGTCATCATGGTTGAAGTTTTGTGGCTCTACCTTCAGCATGGTGTCCTAGTTCTAAGAAAGAAAAAGGATGGGTGTAGGTCAAATGGCTAAGAAACATTTCCTCCATAAAGCTTTCCTTAAGCCCTAACTTTCATTTCATTGACAGGTTACATGTCCAGTACTGACTTAAAAGAGTCTGCAGAAATGAATGTTTTTAACTGGACACATTGTTACCCTGAAAAAAATCATGGTTTTGCTAGTAGGAAAAAAAGATTTCGGTTTAGACAACTAGCAATGTCTACCCTCCTGCTCCAAGGAACTTCGATATACATTATCAAAACATTAGACACTAACCAGACAACACTATCCAAGGTTTATTAATGTTTCAAATGTGGTTCAGAGGGGAAAATCTGTTCAGTTTTAAGTTCACATATAAAGTATATTTTTCAAAGTAACCATAACTTTGTTTTTCCTAGTTGATAATGTTGAATAATCAGCTGACACAAATGTCATTTTTAGGAACATGTCCAAGATGATAACTGTACAGTTTGCATAAAGCAGTTTATTGAAGAGGTATTTACAACAGTAAAAACTTGGGGAAAAAACCCACAAATGTCAATCAATACAATACTGCCAAGATTTATGATCATACACACATTCACTTAATAGATACTATGCAACTTTTTAAAAATGATGTTATCTATGACAGTGAGAAAAGAACTATGAATGCAAGATATAGTTTATGAAATATTTACTTCTATTTTCTAATGTATTATTTAGTTTTAGAGAGATGTTTAGAAGAATGTAACAGAATTTTTTAATGGTTAGATTATGGGATTTGAACAAATTATAACTATCTTTACATTTTTATTTGAAGGTTTTGAATTTGTTTGCATAAGCATGTACTGTTTTCATAAAGCAATAACTATTTTTCAAAAACACCAGAAAAGGGATGGGCGATTTGATCAACATTCCTTTTTGCATATAATTTCCCTAGATTTGACTATGGCTAATCTTATCATTGGAAGGGTTTACCTTTGTTCACTGGGGATAAAAGGGTTATTCTTTGTTCACTATAGCTTTCAATTAAATTAAAATGACACAAAGGAATCCTGAGTTTGGTTTGGTTTGTATTTGGAACACTGTGACCCCTAGAGGAGTATCTTTTCTAGTTTCTTTGTGGAAGTATATGGAACCAAGCTGTGGTGGGGGATGGGCCTGGGCAACAACTACACAGAAGTTGAGGAGGAAAGGAAGTTAAACGTGGGATATAGTAAAGAGAAGTCTGGAGGCATGGGACAAGAAAGGGCACCAACCTGGCTGTCATGATTCTGGCATTTCTCTTCTGGCATGTTCTGTTAGTTTATCTTTCTGGCCTCAGTTTCCTCATCTGAAAAAAGACATCTAAATTAGAATCACTAGATGTTCCTTAAGTTTTTTAGGGGGAGAGGGGGTACAGGGGATTGAACTCAGGGGGACTTGACCACCGAGCCATATCCCCAGCCCTATTTTGTAATTTATTTAGAGACAGGGTTTCACTGAGTTGCTTAGCATCTTGCTTTTTGCTGAGGCTGGCTTTGAATTCGCTATCCTCCTGTCTCAGCCTCCTGAGCCACTGGGATTACAGGCGTGTGCCACTTTGCCTGACCATTAAGTTTTAAAATTCTTTTGGAAGACTCTTTTGGATCTACTGATGTTAACTCGTGGCAAACTATACACTAAAGCTGAACCCAAGCAAATTACAGGAAAAATAACAATAACTAAAATATGCTACTTATTATTTCTCCCAGGCATGCTAAGTAACTTGCTAACATTACACAGCCAATAAATAGGGGAAGGGAAGCAAGGTTCCAGCCTGTTATGGTTTGAATATGGCTTGTCCCCATCATAAGATGTTAAGAGGTCGAACCATTAAGAGTTGATTAGGGCTCTGCCCTCATGAATAGCTTAATCCACTCACCTGATTAATGTATTGATGGGTTAATGGCTGTCCAGACAGCAGGTCTGCTATAAAAGGGAGCTTGGCTAGGTCTATTATGAGCTCCCTGTTTCTTGCCAGGTGATATTCTGCTTTGCTTCAGGGCACTGCCAGCAAGAAGGCCATCGGCCAGAACTTTGCCCAGAACCACAGCCAAAATAAAGCTCTTCTTTATTTTGACTATGGCTAATCTTATCATTGGAAAGGTTTACCTTTGTTCATTGGGGGGGGGGGGAGATTATTCTTTGTTCACTATAACTTTCAATTAAATTAAAATGACACAAGGAATCCTGAGTTTGGTTTGGTTTGTATTTGGAACATTGTGACCCCTAGAGAAGTATCTTTTCTAGTTCCCTTGTGGAAGTATATGGAACCAAGCTATGTTATAGTTTAGCAACAGAAAATGAAGTGAAACAGACCAACCAGCCTGTTTTCAGAGTCTACTTTTAACACTTACAGGTTATTAAAGAACTGCCCAAGTCACGCATTTAAATGAAGCAGGCAGTAGCTTTCCGATCCTGGAGCTTGGCCTTGTAGAGGGTTAAAGCCAATGACATATAGACCTTCCACTCACCTCCTCACTACGTGGTGGGGTTGTCTCGACAGGTGGCAACCACCCCCTAAGGGCAGATGATTTTTGCAAGCTTTGAAGAACTTCTTCCTGCTATATTGTAGGACAGAAATGAAGTACTGACAGAATCAAAGTTTATGCACGTGTTCTTGCAGAAGGCTTTCTGATATCACTGTTTTTCAGTTCTTTCTGGTTCACACATCACGTTATGTAGCACCTTTCTGCATAGCTCATCTTGCCGTATTTCCTTTAGTTAAGACCAGAGAGAAAGTGAGAATATGGGGAGAGGACTAGCGAGGAAAAAAAAAAAGGACGGGTTAAGAGCAGGTTAGAGGCCAAGATACTACTACAGAGTTAAGAGTCCGTCTCTCAGACAAAGGTCCCTCAGTCACGACCAGTCTCAGTTCTAGTTTCCTTCCTTTCACTACGTTCCTCTCCTCCTCAGTCTCCAAGTATGGAAGCTAGTGCAGAACCCAACAGCAGAGTTGGAAAGGTGAAACCCGTAGATAAGATGCGCAACAGGGCTGCAACTAAGCGTACAGCTTCTGAAAGCCCCGACTTCCCAGACCCCTTCGCAGAAGGGCGGAGCTCGTGGTCGGCGCCCTATCCCCGCGTCCGCACGTCGCCGTAGCCCCGCCCCTCCCTGCCCCCTCCGGCTCCGCCCTTCCCTGGGGCTGGTGCGGCGGCGGCGACGTCAGCGCTCGGAGACCCCTGGGTGGCGGCTGCGCCGTAGGCGGGCCGCGGCCTGGACGCGCTGCAGGGAGGGGCGGAGCGAGCGGGCGGGAGCGCGCGCCGGGCCCGCCTCGGCTGCCGCCGCCACCGCCACCGCCGCGGGAGAATGATCTGGGCGGTAGCGGGCGGCCCGGGCTAGCGGCCACGAGCCAGTTCTGCGGCTGCCCAGACGAGCAAAGGTCGCCAGCCCCGAGTCGACCCCCTCTCCGCCCCCCAGGAGGGGCGAGAGGGAGCAGCTGCTGATGTCAGGTACGGCCAGGAGAGGCGCCCTCAGGCTGCGGGTCGGAGGTCTGGGCTCCCCTCGCCCTCCCCCCTCTCGGGGTGTGTGAGCCCGAGCGTGGAGGGTGGAACCGAACGCCAGGCGCCGCCAAACAGGTGTCTTGGGGTCGGGGCCGGGCTTGGGGCGTTCGGGCTTCTGAGGGAGGCGCGGGGCACTTCGAACTCCTGGTGCCTCCGCGAGCTGCCACGGGGGCCGGGTGCCCACGGGCCGTTATTTTGACGACATGTAGCCACTTGTCGTGGCGGGTCCTTCCTTTCGCCCTCCGGCACAACTCACCTCCTGCGCTCGTGCTGCTGGGCGTCGGGCGTCCGCGTGAGGCGCGGGGTGCGCCCCGGCTGCGGGCCGGATCACCTAGCGGTCCTGTCCTGCCGGGCCCTGCCTGCCCCGCCCCCGGGTCCTCCCCGCCCGGGTCCCCAGCGGCGGTCTAGCCAACTCGACTCAGGTGTGGGCACCTTCCGCGAGAGCCCGGCTGCAGCGCAGCCTGAGCGCCCAGCGAGCGGGCGCCGTCCAGAAGTGCCTGGGGCTTGCTTGGATCATCAGGTTTGTCTGTAGCTGATTTATTTTTTAAAGTTTCCCTGCCGCTGACAGTGAACAAGCCAGGTGCGTATCGGGGCACTTGCTACCAGAAAGAGGGGGGAATTTTTTTTTTTTTTTAACTCAAAATTTTTTCCCCTTTCCCCCTGCAAAGTGTGATGGATTACTGGATTCTGGCAAGTTGTCCATAGTGCTTTGAGTTTAGATAAATTGCATGCTTCTAATAGACCGCAGTTTAGGGGTAGGGATTTATTCAGTTTTAGCCCTTAGCCGCCCCCTCCCCCTTGCCATTTTTTAAAATAACATCATCAACAACAACACAAGACTCACATTCTGGAAAAGCTTATTAAGTTTCCAGTTTTCTAAATTCATTGTGAGTATATAGCCTTATTTCCTTTTAATGCTTTAATGATTAAAAACAATGCTATGAATTGATTTCATTATGAATTAAAAAGTTACAAAGTGGGTTGGGGCTGTAGCTCAATTGGTAAGAGTGCTTGCCTAGCACGTGTGAAGCACTGGGTTCGATCCTCAGCACCACATAAAAAATAAAATAAAGGCACTGTGTCCATCTACTATAAAAATATTTAATTTTTTAAAAAAAGTTATAAAGTTAGAACTTTAAATAATTAGGCAATAAGTAAGGGCCAGAAATATGTTAATTTAGTAAAAGATGGATGTAGAACATAGCTCCGCCTGGGTGCCAAGAAAAAAAGTGTTGTGCTTAATTTCAAGTTGTTTAATTCTGGTAAGTTTGGGATGTGGGAATCCGAGTTTTTGAAGGTATTTAGATGACAGCTTTTCACTCCAGTATCAGAGAAATGTCAGATGAGGCTCATGCACATGATATGGAGAGTTCTAAATATTGTATGTAATAAACTGTATTTGTTTTATTTTCTGCCAGCTTTAGTATATATTGATGTATAGTTTAAATGAATATAAAGCTTCAAGTTACCAAACAGTTAACTCTTTTCACCATATGTTAAGTAAAACAGTGATTTAGTAAGGAAAGTATGACTCATTTAAAATTCTTCATAGTGAAAGAGAATGATTTTTCAGGACTAGTGGAGAACTATTAAATATCTTTCTCAAATTTGCCTGGAATTTGTGTTTTTTCAATATCTTTTTGCTTAGGATTCAGCATTTAAAGATAGTTTGTGGTTATTATCCATTTAGAGTTTAAGTATACTGTCTTTAGATTGTATGAGTCTATATTTCTGAATAAATTAAATATCCAGAAATAAATATGCAGATTTAGTTAGGCACAGACGATGAGTTAATGTTTACCTAATGATAGAAATATAAAAGTGATATTGTTAATTATATGCGAGGTACTATTTGTATGTTGTTATGTGCTGCAGTAAAAATTATGTTATACTGATTACCTTTGTAAGGCATGTTAATTTAGAGTCTTCATGTGGTAAAATTACTGATAGTAATTTTTGTGACAGTATATTTATAAATCTTTTAATAGAAAATTATCAGCTTGATGCTACATTAAAAGTTTAGGTTTCCTAATAGAAATTTTTAAGTGAAGAAGGAAAAAAAATCTGTTCCTTAAAATGTGAAGTTAGCATTTTATTTTAAAATCTGGTTATAAAGGAACTCCGTGTGAAATTAAATTTTTATTTTGCACCTAATTCAAGCATCCCAGGGGAAAATATGTGCCCAAATTTTAATGTGTGAAATTATGAAGTCTTCTTTGGAGGAAAAAAATAAAGAAGATGCTCCTTGTGAGTTAAGGAAACCCCTAAGAAGCTGGGAAAAACCAAAAAGAAAATTCAAATAAACTGTCCAGCCCATGTAGAATGATCTGTCTTGCACATTGAAGGGACACATTTAGGACAAAAAACAATGTTGAGGAAATTCTCAAACAGGAAATCTGATTAAAATGAAAGCTATGTATTTAAAACATTACTTAAACTGGTAGAAGTTGGATAATGGGCAGAATTTGGGATTACATACAGCTTGGTGTAGTTGTTTGCATTCTGTTCCCCCCCCCCCCCCCCCAGGATTGCCATAATAAATAACCACAAACAGCCATTTAAAACAACAGAAATTTATTGTCCTAGTTCTTGTGGCTAGATGTCTGAAATCAGGATGTTGCCAGGACCATGTTGTCAAGGTTCTAGGGGAGAATCTGTTCTAGGCTTCTTCTTGTGTCACTGACAATTCCTTGGCTTGTAGCTGTATCACTTCGTGGCATTCTCCCTGTGTGGCTCTGAAACATTAGTACTACAAGTGTGGTCCCTGGATTCTTGTATCACCTGGGAACTTGTTAGAAATGCACATTTTCAGAGTCCAGATCTTTGTTTTGAAAATTGTTATAATTAACTTTCCAGATGATTCTGATGCAGACTTAGGTTTGAGAACACTGATCAGGGTGGAAAAGAAAGACAGTATACAAGATGAATTTAAAAAATAATGTTAGATATTAATAAGTGCTATGAGTAAGAGTAGGATGGTCAGGGAAGACCACTGAGAAATAAAGACCTGAAGAAATAAAGACCATGGGGAGTGAGACATATTAGTGTCTGGGCATATGTCCCCAGCAGATAACAGCAAGTATAAAGACCATGGGCGTGTTAGAGAGATGTCAGTGAATTCAAAGGTAAAACATGGAGAAATAGTATTAAAGTCGATCCTGTGAAATTGTTATTTGTTTGTTTCTTACCTCCAAAACCACTAAGTCCAAGGAAAAAGATCACAAAGAAAGGGGTGAAATAGGATGGCAGATTATGTGAAGGTCATTTTAAGGTTTGGGCTTTTTAAGTGAGATTAGGAAGTTGTAAGGGTTCAGAGCAGTTGGGTGACAAGATACAAGTACAGTTTTAAAAAGATCACTCTGACTACTCTAAAAAATAGAATGAAGGAAAGGTTAAAGGGGGGGAAAAAAAGTTGATTAGAAGGATTTTGCAGCAGTTAAGAGAAAGGGGTGGCTCAGACCAGGGCTGTAGTTGTGGAGAAGTTAGAACAGGTACAAGACTAAAAACAGATTAAAAGTAAATGTGAAAAGTAAACTTTTTTTCTTCTTATCTAGTTACCTCTGTCATCCATATGCCCTCCTGAAAAGCAGCTATTCTTTATATATATATATAAAGTATTTTATGTACATATGAGAGACTTAAGTCTCAACAAGTTAAAGGAATAGTTATTGACTGGGGCCGATTTTCTTCTCCAGGAACATTTGGCCCTGTCTCGAATTTTTGATCAACCAGTGAGAATGCTGCAGGTATCTAGGAAGTAGAGGCCATGGATGTAGCTAAAAATCTTTTAACAGTGAACAGAACCGCTCCAACAACAGTATTATCCAACTCATGGTGTCATGTCAGTAGTTCCAAGATTAAGAAACCCTGATTTCATGGTATTTTCAGAGGTGATAGTGGAGAGAAGAGAGGTCATTGTAGTCAGATGTATAGTAGGAATAGTGAAGCCAATACATTGGATGCTTAGAGAACTGTTGATAATTCAGAATTGCTGAAGTGTAAGGCACAGGATAGCAAAAGATGAAACTGGACACCTGGAGAGTCTAGATCAAGGAGAATCTTTTATATCATGTTAATTAAAGATGCTTAGTTTTTGAGTTGTAGGCAGTGAAGTTCCATGAAAAGCTTCATGGTATGACACAGTTAGCTTCATTTTATAGAGGTCATTATGGCAACAGGATGAGGTGGGGAGAGAGAGAGCACTTAAGTTAGAGAGGAGATAGGTTAGATATTGCAGTACGTAGATGTGAAGAATGTATGAAATAGGGCAAAGAGTAGAAATGGAGAGATGATGGATTAGAAAACTGTTTAGAAAATAAAATTGACAACACTTGATAATTGGATTTGGGGTGAGGATAAGGGGGATCATTAAGAATGTCTCCCAGGCCTGGGGGTGTAAGTCTGTGAGACAGCACATGCTTCACATGTGCACAGCTCTGGATTTAATCCCCAGAACCCTTCCCTGGCAGAAAAAAACAAAAATGTCCCCAATTTCTCCTGTAGATAATCAAGATAGCTCTAAATGAGAAGGGAACCTATTGGTGAGTAACTTAGATAACCACCAATAATTAATATAAGAAGTTTTAAGGGAGTAAAGTAATGATTCACTTTTGGACATGAATTTGAGATGCCTGTAGTCCAGGTAGAAGTATTTAGCATGTATCTGTGCATGTGACTCTGAAACTTAAAGTTTGAAAAGTATCAAGAGATCCTTTTGTGTAACAAGTATGGAAAAATTAATGCACTTTGATTTTTCACTCTCTAGATAAAGTAGTCTACTTTTATTTAGTTTTTTTTGTCAGAAAGTAATCGGTGTATACCTGATTTAAAAAATAAACATGAAAATTAAGCACTAATTTAAAATTAAGAGTGAAAAAAAAATTGTCCTTCTTGCCCATGCCACCTTGCTAAAGTTTTTATTTATACAGTGTACACACACACATTTATAT